TACTTAGTGATTTTGGGTTCAGACCAGGCAATGTGATGTTGCCTGAAAAAGGACAATTACTAATTGATAACTCGATGAAACAACTTGTGAAAGTTTTTATTTTCACAAGCTTTTATTTGGTTTCACCTATATCGGTATCCGACTATGTGTCTGTTATCAAATCTTGCAAGTTAAATTTGGAACACTTTTAATTACCCGATTGATTTGAAATTTGGTAGGTGTAGATGACTCCGATGAAAATGCATTATGAAATTTTTGTTAGAAAAAAAAAACAAAACAAAATGGCGGCTCCATTATGGCGGACAAGTTTTGTGATTATGTTCCAATTCTATTCAAAATTGGTGTCTGGGGGTTTTCAGGGTCGAAGAATTTTTATTCAGTTTTACCTGTTTCGGTGTCTGACTGTTCCCACATACTCCACCTAGTGTGACTTTCATAATGAGAATCCATCATTTTGTGTTTATTCTTCAATAAATTTTAGTGTGGTTGAAAGTAATTTTCAAAATTCGATATGTCGAAAACGGTTGAATTCAGGAAATGATATGAAATGATATGCTGGATCAATGTTATTCAGAATTTCGATCAGAATATAATGATACATAGGGTGTCCTACTGAAGAAAAAGCAACTTTATTTCTCCAAGACTTTTTGACTTATACTGTATACTTAATTTTCATTCAGTATGGTATATTTTGAAGAACCCTAAAACTTCCGTTTAAACCCAATTTCTATGGTGAGTTCTTTAGGGATGAACAGTCCATTTAAAATAAATCCCTGAATATCTACGAATGCAACTCTCATGATGACAACTTGTACAGTACTATCACTCCTTACAACTAATTTTGAAGTTTTGATATTTTTGATTGAGGTGTGGGAAAGGGAGTGTTATTTGAATTTCAGTTCCACTTTTTGATGATTTCGCTGAGTGGGAGGTGCTCGATGACAGTGTGGTGCACAATTATGCAATAGGCTCGTGTATTTTGTGAAAATCCCTCAGATGCTTCGATTTCAAGTTTTACATCAACACTGGAACTTTTGATGCTTTCATCCCTTCTGGAAGAATCGATGACGAAGAGAGTTTTTTGAATACAGTCGGCGGTGTTGATGAGAGGATTATGTCGATTGATCTTTTTGTAGCTGGGACCGAATTGTGCGTAGTTGAAATATGCTTGCAAACAATTCATTTCCTCAAAATTCAGATGCATATTATCTTTGGAGTAATTTTCACCGTTCAGAGTCAATGTTATATTGGTGATATTTATATGGTTGAATTGGGTTGGATCATTGTTGACTTTGGTGTAATCACGATCTCTTTGGAAACATACATTCACATATCGAGGGCTTTCGAGAAAAGAGGAAGTCTTGACGGCCCATATTTCATTTTCTGCACCTTGTGTGAGAGCAGGCAGCAAATGGAGTTCTCATTTTCTGAACGGTATGAGAATAGGAGTGTCTGCTTGGATAGCTTTTAAAAGTTGCAATTTGATTTGATCATGAGGGAAGATTCGTTCAACTTTCAGTTCGATATTTTCAATTTCCAGCCTAACTTCGGCCTTTGATGCTACTGTACCAGTAGTTTCGTACTAATCGGATGGTGTATTTACCATAGGAAACACATTGATAATCATTGAAAATATTCAAGGAATGCTTGATAGGTAAATTGAACGTTGAAGATGTAGTTTGAATGATTCCGAAGCTCTTGGGGTATGTCCATCCTGAAATTGCCAAGTGTTTGATATTTTCTTCGGTGTAGGTGAAGTAGCCTCTGACAGTACTAACAATTCCAACTTCATGAACAGCTTCCAATTCTTTACCGTTCTGCTCATAGGTAGCATATTTAAACGTGAAACCACCAGCATTGTTCACGAAGGTCACATGACCATCTTCCTTGGCCCTCTCAACTTTTCCGCTGATGAATAGCAAGCTATCGTACAAGGCATCATAGGCATCCGATTGATTGATGTTGATTTCAATGACGTCATTGTTGCGAAAAGATTTGACGTAAAGGGTAGTAGGTCCGCCACTCTACCTTTTGTATGGACTCATCGTTTTGCGGTTTTCGAAAAATGTTGAACACTTGATTGTATGACATGATAACCCAGAGATTTCAGAAATAATTTATTTTCTGTTGTTAATAGTTGTCGACTATTGAAAGTTTTGGTGAAGACTGGCGAAGCGTATGGTGATGAGTTTTTCTTATAGATAGTCAGTACCATACTTTCGTTTCAATTTCAAACGAATTATTATCTCTTCGTTACGAAAATCAATGAGCCTGCAATGTTGGTCGAGCACTCGCAGCGTAATATTGTTCATTTCGTCTCTATGTGCAATAGGTAGGTATATGAGATGATTAGGCATTTCGTCAATTGCGTATCCTGGATCGACATCTACAGCAAATTCGTATATCATATGAGACGGTGTGTCGTTGTGGAATGCTCCAAACGTAATGTTGCTATCTATGTGTATGGTACGTACTTTAATGATATCTACAGGTAGATCGGATGCGTAATATAAGTTAGGTTTGAGAAGAGTGGATAAAAACCCTAAAATGCGAGCCAAACTATTTGCAGGTTGGAAATCAATCCTTATACATTTAAGGTACAATATATTTGCTTATCAAATTTTCGATTTCATCAATTTCGTAAGATCCAGAAGGAATATCGATACTTTATCATTTATTCGTGTCACCGTTTTCGTAATAATACAATTTTGTACCTTCTTCAATGTTTGGTATAGTGTTGTAGGAATGGAAACTGAGCAATGCTAAACTGTATTCGGAATCGGAATCCAATCGAATGGGCGGAAAGCGGCGACGATGGAAAGCGTGGAAGAACAACTCGGTAGCGTTAATATCATAGACGTGACTGATATAATGTCAATACGACATTTCCTTCAATAATGATTGAAACAACAAAATTTTGAATGAAAATATCATTTATTTTCACAATAATAACAACTAATGAACTCTTTTGAGTGAGTTTTATCAACAAAAAGCCCCATAATTTTTGTAGATATTATATAGTAGAAACTGTAGGCACACATGTCCACAATTACTTTGATAAAAATTTTGATACCGATCATTGTTTTATGTAATCGTTGCAACTTTTCCAAAATATCGTATCAATTCCATTGGAGGTTTGAGATTACCAAAGCTATCGAAATATTGTACAGCATTAACATTTTCAATGTAATCTACCCAATGAGTGCCTGAGACCACAAGTTGGCAACGTATCACGCATAAAGACTCCACGAAAATGCGGAATTTTCAATTGAAGGGCACATTTTTGAATTTTCGAATCATATAATGCTCTATGGGGTAGCTTCAACAGGAGTTTTTTTGCTTTTTCAAGTAAAGACCTCGTCCTTTGCGTTGATGCTGGTTTTGCGTAGGTACAAACCAGAACCCAAATATTCCATAGCTTTATTGTGACGCTGATCTTCTTCGAGTTTCTTTTTGGCATTTTTTGCATCTATTACGGTTTTTGCGATAGCGCCTGTTCCACCTGCCAACGAACCCAAAGCTGAAAGGGCAGCGAATATAGGTATGAGTGGCAGGACTCCTCCAGATTTTGCTTCGATTGGAATTATCCTAGGTATCCGTATGTTTTTTCGTCCTCCAGCTTCACTCAATGCCATTTTCGCAGCTCGCAAAGCCGAAGCACTTTAATATCAGTAGAATGTGGCTTCCAATTTTTAGTAATTNCATTTGAGACAACGTAGTGATGTCACCAAGAAGGAGGAGAAGAAAGATGAAATAAAAACGGAACCATTCGATCAATCTCAAGCATTTAAAGAAACACAATTTTTACCACTCTAAAATGTTGCTGAAACGACGGGAAAGGATGATGATGATGAGGTATTCCACGAATCACCACCACCACCATCAAAGGAAAATATTTCAGAGGAGAGTATGATGGAATATCTGGAGCAATATCCGCCCATATCACACAAATATGTCGTGAAACACTGGACTAAAGACAATTCAATCGATACAATATACGGACCTGTTCATGACAAGTCCTCTTCAAAATGTATTTTCGGTAGAAACTACATTGACTTTGATAAACGTGCTAATATTACAACTGAAGGACTCTCCTTCAAAGGAACTAGGACTATATAATTTGATCTTTCTCGATAAACCTGAAGACTATAATAAAGATGATCGAGCCTCTTATAAACGTTTGTTGGAAGTAACACAAGCCCACCTGAATGCCAGAGGATCCATGAAGGAAACACAAAAATGGAAATGGTCAGATTTAATAAGGCCCATGTTTCGTAATCAAACACTTGGTAAGGGTTACGATAATGTAGTGAGCAATGATGTAGTTGGTTCCAGCATTCTACAAACGAATGCCATCAACGCTCATCGTTGGATATATAATGACAAGCCCTTCGAGTATGTGTATTGGGATAATCCGAACAAGTTATGCGATAGATTAAAGCTGCTTGTAGCTTCGAAAGATGCTGGAAATACGTCACATGACAATGAAATTACAGCTATATCCAATGAAACCAGAGAAGCCAACATTATTCAGTAATAAATTATTCAGAATGACATGTATTTTATTCCAAAAATTCAATGCGATAAAACGATCATTTCTGCCACTTCAATCGCAACGAGAAAAACGTATTTTTCAAACCATCATTTCGTGCAAAAACCCATATGATTTACATTGTAACATGCTACGAAAAATAATGCAATATTAACATGAAAATCGCGTCAAAATGATGTTAAAAATTTGATGCAATAAAACGCTCATTTTCGTCACAAAAAACGTATCAAAAACTCAACAAAAATTCAATGCGTTGAAACAACCATATCTTGGTCGCTTAGAAAGAACGCATATTATTAGAATCTTATCGGTGTGTGTCACATTTCCATCATGACTATCGACAAGTTTGGACGCAGCTCCAATAGAAAGCGAAAGCAATCTGCAACATCAGCAGTAGGCACTGGTGGAGGTTTGCTACACACACACAGATGTAGTCAACAAAGAGTACATGGATGAAGTTGAGAAAAAAATTGATGCAACTATACAGAATCAAAGCAGTCGACATCAAAAACAAATGGCTCAAGTAAATGAAAATATAACAAAAATGCGAGAGTAAGTCAATGAATGTCAACATCAAATAACTCAAGTTATTGATAAAGTAATGAAAATGAGTAATAATATTCAAGAACAGGAGAATGTGAACAAATGATTCGGAACTAAATTTCAAAAACTTGATACCAATTTTGTTCAAATGGTACATACAAATATGGTACGCAATAACGAGGCGGTGGCGCAATACAAAAAATTCAATCAGCAATATGTAAATAATATTGAAAATATTCGAGCTGATTCTATGAATAAAATAACAGAAACAGATCTTTGAAAATTGAACGAAACGACATGATGGAGCACTTTCAAGGTGATATCTCCAAACAAATTTCCAAAACAGATTCGGATTCAGCGAAGGTACAATCTGATATCAAGAAAATCAACAAAATGTAGTTCATCACTACGAACCGATCAGGAGACGGAATTTCACAATAATAAATTTCAAATTTCAATGAAAAAAACATGGAATGAATCACTACAATACATATAGCATCATGAGGGTTTCTATGGCTGAACGTGTCATAAGAACGTTAAAAGAAAGACTTTTCAAATATTCCAGTTTGAATGGCACCTACAAATGGCTGAATGTTTTGCCTGAAATCACAAAATCCTATAATGATACGCAGCACTCAAAGACGGTCGCGAAACCTTCGGAAGTCAACAAAAATAACGAAAAACAAATTCTCAATTCAACATACTCTCACCTGAAAACAGCTGGGCCAAGAAAATTCAAAGTCGGTGATGTTGTGCGAATCAGTAAGGTGAAACACGTTTTCAAAAAAGGCTACACACCCAATTGAACTACGGAATTATTCAACATAACTAACACCGCCACTTTTTTGCTTGAAGATATGCATGGTGCACATATTATTATGAATTGAGTATATTTCGTGGAAAAAGTGCTGAGAAAAAAGGCAAAAGAATGTATGTTTAGATAGCAAGCATAGCAGTTGGATAGAAAAAAACAGATATTTTGGAACTACTTGCTCGATGTGCGCGTATGAATTCAATTTTGGAAAGCAGGAATGGTGGGCGGTTATGTATGAACTGAATGTATATTGAAACAAGTTTGTACTTTTTCAACATCAGTGAGCAGTGTGAAGTCCGTCATTGTCATTATCGTCACACACACATACATCAACATGAGTTCTGAAGATAGTGGTTATTTTAGTGATGTTACCAATATAATAATAATGATAATAATAATATTTTTTTTCAAAGCAGGGATTGCCACTGACACCCTTGGCCTTTGGTGAGTTGGGACATCACTTACCCGAGCAACTGGTACAAAACCGGACCGGCAGCCCAGGCGCACCCGGGAAGGAGAACTCTATTCTCCCTCCGGTGCCGGTCGTGGGTCCACAGGGCTAACCACCCGGTGGACCCAACACTTGGTTCCCAATGATCAAGGAAGGGGTCCCCACAATCGACCCGCTCGAAGGGGTCAGAGGCAAGGTGGTGGGGCCCATAACGATGATTTGCTTACTGATGACAACCCTGGCAATGAAACAGACGGTTTGAGTTAACGCATGAGCTAAGAGATAGCCTCACGCATTTCTACGAGAGTAGTGAGCCTGCGCGAAGAGGGTATATGGCGAGATTGGTGTGAAACACATCCGGAGCATGCCGCCTTTTCCGCTCAAAACCTTAGGGATTATGTATCTTATCTTCGACGCCAGGGCTATTTAGCTCCTTCCCAGCCTGCTAACGAAGTGGTAGAAGTGACAGTTCTACAACCCGTTGGCACGGCTGGAGAGGAGACTCGCACCATACCACCAATGGAGACGACAATCAGAACACGCAGGGCGCTCGACAAAATTAGGCCCCTGAAGCCACAAGAACTGGCTTGTTTGGAGGCGGAGGTTCATAGTGTTCTAACAGAAGAGGCTGACTTCTGGCAAATCAACACCGCCGTGTATAGCGTCGTCCAATCGGTTTCCGAATCGGAAGGACGAAATCCCGGCCTTGCGGTTCGGAAGATTGAACAGCGTGTACACAAGATGGAGGCTGAGATCACGTCGGCTAGACAACATGCGTCTCGTATCCAATGTGTGATGAATTTCAGGGCGGCCAAGCCTTTCACGCCCGCAGTGCGGCGAATAGCCGCCAAACTACGACGTATCCATCACACTTTAAGTCAAGGCGTGCTGCTGACCACCAAACAGCACTGCCTTGATAGGATACGTATGCTAGTGGCTGCTAAGAAGTCGCTAGTGAGGCGAGCGAGAAGTATCGCGGAAAACCTTAGGTTCCGCGAGACCTTTTCGCTTATTCCAAGAGCCTCCACGTGTTGTGGATAATCCGCCGACCGCTGATCAGGTGGAATCCTTCTGGAAGGATATCTATGAACACCCGCAGCCACTCAACTCAGACACTCCAGCCCTAGCGCAGTTCGAAGCTTTCAAAGAGAGCTTCGACAGCCTGAGCTCAATGAACTGTGCAACCCGATAACTCCGGATGATGTTCGAAGAATCCTTATGGGTTCCAAGAACTTTGGTGCTCCAGGCCCAGATGGGCTGAACACTTATTGGTGGAAAAAACTACCAAGCACCTACCGCCATCTGGCCAGAGTTTTCAACTCATGGCTGGACGGAGAGCAGCCGATTCCGGATTGGTTTGTCGAGGAGCGGACCGTTCTTATCCCCAAAAGCGGAGATTTGTCGAATCCTAAGAATTACAGAGCGATAACATGCTTGAATTCGTGTTATCAGTTGTTCACAAGCATCTTATACACACGAATACTCACCGCAGTTGACCGAGTGTTCGAACGGATATATGAGCAGAGAAGGTCGAAAAGAGGAGTCGCTGGATGTAAAGACAACCTGCTCATCGATAGATGTGTAACACAGGACTCTATACAATATAAGCGTAACCTCTCTATGGCCTGGATCGATTACCGTAAGGCATTTGATACAATTTCGCATGAGCTCATCTTGCATTTGCTCAGATGCCTTGCGGTACCCGACAAAATAGTGAGATGCTTTAAACAACTGATACCACTTTGGCGAACTCGCTTTACCTAACATCTGGTCAAGCAAGAGTCCAAACAGGGTGGGTCACTTTCAGAAGGGGTGTATTTCAGGGTGATTCCCTCAGTCCCCTTCTCTTCTGCATCTCACTATTGCCATTATCCGTTGCGCTCAGAAACACTCGAGGGTATAACTGTGGCACCCCCGGAAACCGGAGGCACAAGGTCACCCATTTGTTTTATATGGATGATCTTAAACTTTATGTCTCTGAAAAGAAGGATCTCCATCAGTCCTTGAGGGTGGTGGAAGAGTTTACGCATGCTATCTGGATGAAATTCGGGATAGACAAATGTGCAATGGTCCATCTCAAAAGAGGACGATGCGGGACTACGGAGAGAATGTGCAGCTCGTAAATGGAAGCATCTTACACCATCTGGATGACGGAGAGACGTATACTTACCTTGGGGTGGAACAACGCCACTCACAAGAGGTAACAGCAGTGAAAAACTCTCTCCGCGGCAAGTATCAGCACAAACTTCGACAGATCTGGTCATCGAAACTGCCGTTCCAATTTTACTCTACTCGTTTGGAGTAGTGAAGTGGACTCGGGAGGAGCTGTATCAACTAGACGTAAAGACCCGAAAAATGATGCATCTCAATAGGAGTTTGCATCCCAAATCGTCTGTTCAACGGTTGTACTTCCCCCGACAACAGGGAGGCCGTGGATTTTTGAGTTTGGAGTGTCTTCATGACAGAATGGTGCTGGATACAACCTATAAAGTCGTCAGAAGTTCGGATCCCCTTCTCTGCATGGTCCGTGACCATGAAAGAGCAGGAATTGGAGCATTTCTCTTTAGAGCAGCTGCCCGAGCAGCTAATGTACTCGGTATAGTTTTCGACACTGAACTAGGTGACCACAACTCTGTCACCGAGTTGGAACCTATTCAGCAAAAACCTCAGATAAAAGCCGCAGAGATCACCTTACTTCTGCGGAAACACAACGATAAGCCAATGCATGGGGTCCTCTTCAATAACATTGGAGACCTTGGCTTATCAAAGCGCCTGACCTTCGCTTTTCTCAGGTCGAGTGGTCTGAAGTCGGAAACTGAGGGGTTCATCATGGCTTGCCAGGATGGTGTCTTCAACACCTCAGTCTACCGCAGTCGTGTGATGGGTATAAAGGTTCCTGAACAAGGTGCAGGGCCTGCCGCGAGGCGCTCGAGACCCTAATACACTTGCTATCAGCATGTTCAGCATATGCGGTCTCGGCCTATATCCATCGACATAACGCGGCCCTAAGAGTGCTATACCACCATCTACGGCACTCTCACGGTATTGACGAGACACCGGTGTTGCTCTACGCTCCGGGGGATATTGAATCCGTTGTGGGGAACGAAAAGTGCCGATTTTATTGGAACTATTCCCCACCTTCAGGCTCATACAAGCTAATAAGCCTGATGTAGTCCTTCTCGACCATCAGACCAAGACGATATTTGTCGTGGAGTTTTCAGCTCCTGGCGAGATGGATATCGTCAGAAAAGAGGAGGAAAAACGGATAAAATATCGAGATTATTTTTATATCAAATAAAATTTTTTTTTTCAATACAAAGTATCCTGTTACTTCTAATACCTCCAAGAACATGTGTACAAAAGTTCATAATGATCGGTTAAGTAGTTTTCGCGTGAAACCGTAACAAACAAACTTACATTCGCATTTATAATATTAGTAGGAAAGTAGGGATAGGGATTTTCCAGCAGATTGACTGCATTAACCTTTCTCCAATTCATATCATTTCTAGAAACGTGTGGATTCATTTTCCGATGGCATTCCAGGATAGCTTCCCAAATTTCTGCTACCGCAGTTGTCGATTGATTTGTCAAACCACCAACACTCACAAGTTGACTTAGATATCACACCAATAGCTGGTTCCACTTATGTCTCGCTTGCTTTTAGCCGAACAGATGCAGAAGGCTGTCATTTTTAGTTCACTGAGCTTGCTCAAGGCACATGATTCTCGGACCCAATGATCACTT